GCGTGTTCGCTCGCCCTGTCGTCCCTTGCAGTGTGGTTGTCTTGGTGGTGTTGCTTGGTGCTTCACTGCTTGGTTGCCGTGCTGCGAGTCCTGCGTGCGGTGTCTTTCCTTGTAGTCGTCTTTGGCGTTGTGCAGCCGTGTTGCCTCTACTGTGTTGTCTGGTGCTCCGCAGGGTTGCTGCATGCTGCTATGTTCCACTTGGGGACAGTTTGCCTCCAACAAGGGTAAATGGGTGCATGACCCAAACCATCAATACGAGTATTCCGCAGATTGTCAAGGGATCAGCCTCCTGATGAGTCGGTGCAACTCCGACGAAACAATCTTTCATCATCAGTTTTAATTTTTTCGGTCGTTTCCTTGTCTATACTTGTTTTTTTTCGGGTGCTGTTTTTGCTTTGTAGTTGTTTGTTTTGCTGGTGTTTCCCTTGCTGTCTTACGCTGTTTGCTTGCCCATCCGTCTACCCCATGTCTTTTACCCAGTGTGCTTTGTTGTTTTGTGCTGTTTGCCTGCCTACCCGCCTTCCCCGTGCCCTCTAACCTTATATGCTTTGCTGTTTTGTGCTGTTTGCCGTGCGGCATGCTGTTTGTCTGGAGCAACATAGGCCCTGTGTCGTTTTTCTGGAGCAACATAGGCTTGTGCTTGCTTGCCCACCGGCCTCCCCCGTGCCCTCCATCCTATATGCTTTGCTGTTGTGTGTTGTTTGCCTTGCGGCTTGCTGTGGTCTTTTCCTTGTTGTTTTCGTTGTTGTGAGGTGTGATATAACACGATGGATGTTAGAATTTTGTGGAATCCTATGGGGCTTTACGTTGTGAGGTGACGGTGAGGTGGAGCATGTACTTGTACGTGCTGAGGCCTCAGCAACATGTGTTTTCACACACATCTACACACACACACACGCGCGCATATGGCTCGAGTGGTCTCTCATCCCGTCCTCGATGGTGGAGTGGTAGACACTGCTAATGGAAGGAAAGCAGTCGAGGCAGATAGAGGGGCTCCATGGACAGTGGGGGCCATGCGTGCACCTGAGAGGTGCATGATGTCGGTACAAGCACAACAGTGAAGGCAATTTGCAGCGAGCGATGGAAGTGGGGGGGGGTGAACGACGACTAGCAGGGTTGTGGTTTCTAAGATGATCCGTATGGGTGAACCGTAAGCGATTCAAGGACGGGTCTTCGAGGAGGTGGTGGGAGGTGGAGGAAGAGACAGGGAGAAGGAATATAGATGGAGAACATGGATGCGGATGTGGAGGAGGAGGTCTGGTGAATCGTTGCCAGTGGGTACTTCGCCGCCCGACGGAATGGATGCCGTCTCATAGAAAGTTCTCGCAATCACGATATCTGACCTGCAGCTGCGCAGTGCGAAGTGGACTGTCATGGACAACGAAGGATGGCCGAATGGTGTGGATTGCATACATCATTAGGGCAGAGGGCACTGGCTATCAATAGTGCCATGTTAGCAGCAATACGGTATAACACAGCAGTCTGGCCTTAGAACACCAAACAATGGGCAAAACACCCTTCCTATGGCAAAACGACTGCGCAGAAAAGGAATCAAAAGGGTAGCATGAGGGTATATCGCTCAACCGCAGCCAAGGGCAGCGCTGCTACTTAAGGTCCTATGCAGGCTACTAATGAGGAATGATATCCAATGGCTCCCTTACGCACACATCCAACTCCACAACCTCGCACTGCCAGTGCCCCCTTTTTGCTTGACTGCTGCCTTCTTTGCCGTGTCTGCTGTGCCTTGCTGCTCGTCGTTACCTGCCTCAGCTGGCTGTCCTTGCATCAGGGGCTGAAGCAGATTACGACTCAAAGAGCATCAGTATGGGAATTCCGAAGACTGACGAGGGTGCAGCATCCTGCTGAGTCCATGCGAGTCCTATGAAACAGTCTGTTGCCTATCTCCTTGCCATTTTTGTGTGTTTGTTTCTTTACTTTGTCAGATTCCTTACTTTGTCAGATTCCTTACTTTGTTAGTGAAAGCGTCCAGGATGCAATGCTAGTGAAAAAAAAACAGTTGTGATGCTCTCCCATTCAGTGACTTCCAGTGTGGAGCAAATTGCTGAAGGTATCACATCATCAAGGCCACACACACACACACACACACACACACACACACCCACACACACACACACACACACACACACATGCTAGCTCTCTGTCTTGGCAGATTTGAGCGGTTAGGATCAGGCTTGTACTAGCGAGCTACTCTTTCTCTGTGGATGGATGTGTTTTGTTGGTTTGCTTTTTTATACATGGCCTAATTCTTTGCCCTGCTTTGCAGCATGGGCTGTCTTGTTGATCAAATAATGTCTTTCTGGGGTGGGAGTTTGGGGTGTTGGCCATAATATCTCAACGACGAGGCTCAGAGAGCGTTTGCTGTGGGTGTAATTCCCGCGGGCTGCTCTTTCGGAGCACATGGAAGAATGGGGTGCCTTCTAGGGTGTTTTAAGCAGTAGCCCTCCTGGTGTCGCATGAAGATCTTGTGGAATTTGGCATAGTACTCGCAGTGGCCTCTCTGCAGCGCTAGGACATTGTCCAATTCTCCAGATTGCACGGCAGGGGGAGGTTCGTGACACTCATGGTGTTGCGTACAGGTCCTGCGCGGACCTGCGGTGTATTTTTTATTTGTGGTGGCATTGTAGGCCGCCACAGAGGACTCTATTTTTTTTGTGTGTGTGGTCGGTGCTTTTTTGTTACTGGAGCCTTTTGTGTTAGGGTGTTCGGTGGCTTTGTGGGCCAACGTGGACGGCTCTCCAAGTTTCTCAGACCTATGGGGGATGGGGTTGGTGCTTTCTTGCTGGTGGAGTCCTCTGGCTTAGATAAGTTGCTTCTTGCCCTCCACCCTTTTATGGATTAAATAATATATGTATATTGTATATATTGTATGCATGTATATATATTATTATATTGTATATATGTATATGTGCAAGTGTGCTGCTTAGGTGGCAGATAGGTGTGTGGGCACTTGACGCTGAACCACACAAACGTGGCCAGCCTTGCATTTTCTAATATATTAGCTATCTATACTTTTTTGTTATTGATGGATGGTTTGTTTAACTTTGTTATGATTTGTGGAGGAAATGAGAGAGAGAATTTGGGGTGTTATAACAACACACACACACACACACACACACACACACACACACACACACACACACACACA